AACTTGGCTTTGTACCATAGTAACGTAAGATTAATAAATATAGAAGAATAAACGAATCTTCACTTGTCCCTATACACATATACGTAAAAAAAGTTTTCTATTTCTATGTTCGAATACTTGATGGCTAAAAATTGGCGAGTTTATCTACAGTGCTGGCAGAAGGTTTTCGAATTTACGTTGAAGCGAAGTTTCGAAATATGTTTTTGAAAGCGAACATTAAAATGTACACTAATTCAATCTTCTGTGTGCGTGAAGCTGTATGTAGTGATACCTGTAAATCCATAATTACCATGTGTCTAATCTATCTATCTATCTATCTATCTATCTATCTATCTATCTATCTATCTATCTATCTATCTATCTATCTATGTCAAGGAAAGGTCTAGTTATCGAACTAACCTACCAACAACTAAATAATTGAATAAAAATATAGTGATACCTGTAAAATCTATAATTGCCATGTATCCAATCTATCTATCTATCTATCTATCTATCTATCTATCTATCTATCTATCTATGTCAAGGAAAGGTCTAGTTATTCCCCTAATCTGCCAAAAACGAAATAATTGAATAAAAATCAAATCTTAGAAATATTTTCACCTCGAAAATAGGACAAACCAACGTCTAGGCAGAATTAAATGATGTCAGGGTGCATTTCATTTTAGAACAATTCAAACATTGATGTAGTTTGTATGCAAGAGGCAGGTCAAACTTGGTAATAACACTCTTAAGAAACTAAGGGAGAAGATGCAATATGGAATTGAAATTGCAATGTGTAAATCATTAGATATTGTAACTGCAAATATCTTACACCAATAAGACTGCTGACATAGATTTTTATGTTTGTAAAATACGCGTGATGTCAGCCTATGCCCCCAAATGATAAAAAAATGCTGTTCGCGATAAAGATTACTTTTATAAAGTGTTAACTAAAATTTCTGTTGTAGAGATTTGTGCATTAATGGTGTTTTAATGCTACCTCTAGTGTTTTTGAAGGCCACTGTTCCTGTGATGGAAGAAGACATTTAATGAGAAGCCTCGAGCAACAATGGTGAACACTTGTTAAGTTTTTGTTACTCAAAAAACGATATTTCATCATCGTATGGTTTGAACACCCCATGGAATATCTGATCATGTGGCATAGCGAAGATAGAGTAAGCAAAACGGTAACTGTCTTTGGTATCACTCGCTCTTGGCTTAGGAAATTTTTAACATGTCAGCATATATAACTCCTACTTTGATCCTGGCCACATACTTCTAGTAACAAAACTGATAACACCAGCTAAGAAAATAGTCCACATCCGCTCACATAAACCACGAATAACAATTCTTCTCTTCTTGTAATGGCATTCACCCGAGGTGGGTTGAGTCGGCTCCAATATTGGAGTTTCATGAGAATGTGGAATTCACAAGCGGTCCCCAACCCGCATGTATAGCACATGAGATTTATAGTGGTGAAGGTTTCGTGCAGGACCATCCACACTTTTTGAAGGGCCGATTACAGAGACCTGGTGCACTACGTACCACAAGGTCCCCAAACGACCCTTAGCACGTAAGTGAATGTAATGGATTTGACTTGAATTCCAACTCGGCTCTCCGATTCCTCAATCCAAGCCGCTATCCATTACTCCACCGTGCCTCCTGAAAAACAGCTAGGCATAATCTTTAAAAATGTAGTAGAATTCTGTGATAAACTACAGTCAAATCTGTTGTCCCTAGTTCTTGATCATAACAATATAGAGGAATCAAATGATGAAATCATACCTTCATTAGCCGAAGCACGTGAGACGATTTCAAGAATATTTAGTCGGAAAATGATCTTCCCGTGGGAGGACAATCTTCATTTGAAAATATTGATAGAAGAAAGAAATAAACACAAGAGAATACTATGCAATTAACGAGGAAAATATAAAAATAAATAGTTAATGCTCTAAGAAACCAATATCGCCAGACAATTAGAAACCAAATTAACGAAGCCAAACAGCATAGACAGTGTGTTGAAATGGGGAGAAAAGTGAAAAATCACGATAACACTAGACAATGGAAACCATAACAGAAGAGATGTCCTAGTTTGAAAAAAAAAATACTTCGAATCACATTTCAATCCCGGACACACTAAACAAGAGACACGTGAAATTAGCACAAACACCAATATAAATCAGATTATTACACTGATTTCAAATATAAACAATAACGAAGCTAATGATGAGGAAATAAAGAAACCTATAAAAATGGCTAAAGAAGAATAATGCATCACTTGACATTAACGCAGAGCTTTGAAAAATAACACATCCGCTCCCCTAACGTAAAAACATGTTTCTAAATTTCATGAAGGAAGTTTGGAATTTGAAGCGTCTCCCCAAAAGGTAGGAAGTATCATGCATTAACGCATTATGGAAACAAAATGTAATCCTCAAGACACTCACACGTACAGAAATATCTCAATTGGGTCGATTAAGGTGAAAGTATTAATGATCATGGTACTAAGTAGACTCTTATCTTTCTATGAGAATCAACTCTTCATAACTCAGTTTGGCTGTTATTCTGTTATTCTGTGTAATGATGTTATATTTGTCATCAAACAACCACAGGAAATTGCATACCTCCCCAAAGAAGAAAAAAAGTATATCTATTATGTAGAACTCACAGAAGCATAGGAACAAATCAGCAGAAACTTTCTCTTCTCGTCCATTAGAAACCGCCTACCAAGCTCTGGCTCAACTGTTGGGATCTAATAAAAGAACTATATAGATCCATAAAGTAATGTGTGTCTTCCAAGGACCCCAATACAGAAACATTCCAAGCCTCATCAGGTGTACGACAAGAAAGAAATGATAGCTTCAATCTATTTAATCGCGTCCTAGACTATACATGGCGCATTTACAAACACAGATATGAAGAGATGGGCACTTACCATTTAAGCATCCAATATCAGACCCTAAAAGAATCTACTAATAGAAAACAGCTTCCTGCTTGCTTTCCCTCCATTGTACTGATGATAGTGTGTATGTGTGTGTGTCGGGGGGTATGCCGATGAAATAGGCATTAATAGTTGGGATAAGAATTATCATGAAGAAAAAAAATGCCGGTAATCCTTCACATAAACAGCGTAAAATAATCTGTCAAAGTCCTTCTTCACTTAAACGGCGTATTGTCATTTTATACCTTTTACTAATATCTATGTGGCCAATGTCGACCTGGTCATTGGATATTCAGTGGTATCGAGCGGGGTTCGGAAAAGTGTCTCTTAGTTGAGATGCTAGATCGGCCAGCAAAGACTGAAAGTAGCGATTGTGCAGTATATTTAGCCTGGAAGCCATATTGTTTCAGATGTCTAGGTTGCATATGCTGGGATCGAGGAAATCAAATATAGGATATGCTCTCATCAGCAGCATTTTGGAATCTGCGGTAAAAGAACAATCTTGTGTTTTCAGCATTTATTTGTTGCATAGTCCACCATTACCCATTGTAATAATATTTTATTCTAATAAACGTTTTGATATTATTGAATTTATGCCGCTCGGTGAACAGCAGTTTATTTTACGCCGCTCAAGTGAAAGATTACCAAATCCCTATCCTCTACAATGTGTTTCAAGAAAGAGGACTGAAGATAAAATTTTCTAAAACAGAAACTATGATCTGGAATTGGAATGAAAGGAGTGATGACACCTACTCTGAATCCATTATAAAACTTTAGAATGTGTAATTAGTAAATACTAAAAACTTCAAATACCTTGGTGTATGGATAAGTTATAACACATTTAGTATTTGACTATAGAATAGGTTGTGTTAGTGGTAGTTTCGTACAACGCCGTATGTTGCTAAAAGCATTAATATCTAAGATAGGTATCTGAGATACAATCATGTAAAAATGGCTTCCAATGAGTGATGCGTGTAGAACATCCTTTTTTCGAACTATACCAGATAGCAGAAATATCAGGTGTGGAAAACAATGACATACTCAAGATGTTGAAATTCCACACTACCTCAAACAAAAGAGGGGAAAGGAAACCGCCATCAATACTGGAAAGAGTGATAACTGTTACTGGAGTTGAGAAACTTATTTTCCAGAAAAAATGATTTAATAGAAATATATTATAAATTTCAAACGACACCAACATTGGTTACCCGGTCAATGAATGTTTAACGTTTCCTTATAAGGAAACGACAATATTACCGTCACCATTAGCATCAGAACAAATTAGTATATTGAATATCTATGTATTTATCTTTTGTGTGTTAAAACTCTTGTGAGAGTTTGGATGCTGACTGTTGAAAGCTTGGCGCAGATAAATATTCCCTAACTTCCCGCTATCTATCTATCTATCTATCTATCTATCTATCTATCTATGTCAGTCTGTTCATATCTATCTATCTATCTATCTATCTATCTATCACAGTGTTTTCATATCTATCTATCTATCTATCTATCTATCTATCTATCTATCATCTATCTATCAGTCTGTTCATATCTATCTATCTATCTATCTATCTATCTATCTATCTATCTATCACAGTGTTTTCATATCTATCTGTCTATCTATCTATCTATCTATCTATGTCAGTCTGTTCATATCTATCTATCTATCTATCTATCTATCTATCTATATCTATCTATCTATCTATCAGTCTATGTCAGTCTGTTCATATCATCTATCTATCTATCATAGTGTTTTCATATCTATCTATCTATCTATCTATCTATCTATCTATCTATCTATCTATCTATCTATCTATCAGTCTATGTCAGTCTGTTCATATCTATCTATCTATCTATCTATCTATCTATCTATCTATCTATCTATGTCAGTCTGTTCATATCTATCTATCTATCTATCTATCTATCTATCTATCTATCTATCTATCTATCTATCTATCTAATACAGTGTTTTCATATCTATCTATCTATCTATCTATCTATCTATCTATCTATCTATCTATCTATCAGAAAGAACAGTGGATCATTCATCGTGTATGATTGGAAATTAAAATGGATTTCA